AGCATGACAGAACTAAACATATCGAAGTTGATCGACATTTTGTGCGAGAAAGGGTCACATCACAAGAAGTGTCTTCCGTACATCACATCTAATATGCAGCTCGCGGATATCCTCACCAATGCTGTACCAAGGAAGAAGTTAGAGACAGACCTATCCAAGTTGGGAATGATAGATATCTACTCCCAACTTGAGGGGGAGTGTAGAGAACACTGATGTGGGCCCCACTGCAGTGGTCCCCACTATGTTCGTAGGACAGCAGTATAGTTATTTGTTTCAGTTATAGTAGTGTCGGTTTGAGTCAGTTTGTTAATTTAGTTGTTATTTATTTCAGCTTTTATTTACTTTATTTATTATGTAAGTACTAAGGGYAGATGTGTCCTTTCCATTATGTACTAAACATAACCTATAAATATTAAGAAAGTGGCGGTGGCAGATCTGTTAGAATCTGTCCCTCCTTTCAACCACATGTGTTCTCTTGTTTCTCTTCTATTCTCTCTCCTTTCTCTCATTTTTCTTCTGTTTTGTAAACCTAAAACCTATTAGGATTCAAAACAGATTATAGTCTTGATCTTCTACTATGGGAATCCAAAAAGTGCAAACTTTTGGTAGCCAGTGGTGGAAAAATGTGAAAAGAAATTAGCTACTTGGAAACATTGCTATCTCTCAAAAGGAGGCAGACTTACCCTTATAAAGGCTTCTCTTGCAAACATGCCTGTTTATTTCCTTTTAGTATTTCAGATCCCAATCAAAATCAGATCACAGATCGAGAAGCTCCAAAGAGACTTCCTATGGGAAGGTGGAAATGATAGAAAAAGGCATCTAGTAAATTGGAGTCAGGTTTGCAAGCCAAAAGAGGCTGGAGGGTTGGGAATCGGACACCTAAAAGAGAAGAACAATGCCCTACTCGGAAAATGGCTGTGGAGATTCCCCATTGAATCGAACTCCCTATGGGCAGTTATCATCACCAGCAAGTATGGGTTAAATGCCAACGGTTGGGACTGCAATCTCCGCTCAAACCGGCTAGTCTCCTCAGCCCCCTTGGAAAGGTATCACCTCCATTCATAACCTCTTCTTTTCTTTCACAAGATTTAGGGTGGGTAATGGAAATAGAATAAAGTTCTGGACTGATCTGTGGTGGAGTGATTCCACCTTGACAGACTCCTAGATTTACAGCCTTACTCTAAACAAAGATGCAACCATTTCTCAGTGCCTACCCTATTCCTCCGATGAAAGCAACATTAACTTGAGCCTTAGAAGACCCTTAAGGGAACCGGAGATAAGCGAGTTAGCTGGCCTCCTCCTCTCCTTCTAAGAAGTTGACATTTCCCCAAGCTCCCAAGATTCCTGAGTCTGGAAACCACACCCAGAAGGTGAGTTCTCGTCTAAGACTTTTTTCAAAGCTCAGGTAGCAGAAATCTGAGACTGTGGCTTCCCCTTCAAGAAAATCTGGTGCAAGCTTGTCCCCTCAAGAGTGAGTTTCTTCATATGGGAGGCATGTCTGAATCGAGTTAACACTTGCGAGTTACTTCAGAAGAAGAACCTTGGAAGGCTTTATATCTCCCCCCATGTTTGTATCCTCTTTGTGAGGGTGAGACAGCTGATCACCTCTTCATATGCTGCCAGGTAACCAGAAACATCTGGAACTACTTCCTTCAGCTAGCTGGGTATAGTTGGGTGGCTCCCAATCACCTTCAGGATTGGAATTCTCAATGGCATGGAAGAGGCCTGAGCAAGAGAGGGAAGGCTTACTGGCTGATAGTGCTTCAAGCAGTACTCTGGGGAATCTGGGAGGAAAGAAACAATCATTTGTTTGAAAATAAGGCAAAATCTAAAGGTGAGCTGCTCAATCACATTGTTTATCACTGTAATCAGTGGGCTTCCAGCTCAAAAGAGTTCAAAGGAGTCAATATCAACGACCTCAACAGGAATGTGGTCCACTTTCTGCATTCCTCCCCATACACTCCTCACACCCCTAGAGTCCCCTCAACAAGAAGGGCAAGAACTTGAACTCTAAATTTTGATGGAAGTGCCCTGGGTAACCCTGGAGTTGCCGGTACAGGGGGAATCCTGAGAGCTGAAAATGGACTCGTTTGCTGGGTTTACAGTGGACTGATTGGATTAGCGGACTCTACAAAGGCTGAAGTATTAGCAGCTCTTACAGGGATTCGCCTAGTCAGCAAACTGGGTATTCAGAACTTCTTCATCGAAGGCGACTCAGCAAATACCATAAAATGGTTAGGACAACAGGAAGCTGGACCGTGGAAACTTAGTCACTTCTTATCAGAGGCAAGAGATCTATTGGCTCTTATGAATGCTTCTCTGTACTGGATTCCAAGGGAGTTAAGTGCTACTGCAGATAGTTTAGCAAAAGTAGGTGCCAATCTGGAGTCCTTGTATTGTGAAAAGTTTCCTCCTGTATAACTCTCAGGGGTCTGTCCCCTGTAATGTATCTGTTCACCTCCTTGTGTACCTCTTTGTCTTTTTAATGAAATCAGTTAATTTTTCTCAAAAAAAAAAATCCTACCTAAAATGTTTATGCTTGGATATGCCTTCTTACTGTCATAAGATATTCCAGAACTTATTTTTGCAGCCATTGGACATCTTCTGGGAAAAAGACCAGAGGGCATAAGCTCCTTTTTTGTTTTTTTTTTTGTTTTCTTTTGTTTTTCTGATTGTGCAATTACTAAATTTAATACTAAGGAAACTGTTCAGTTACTTTGTACTATTACTACATCTTTGTTGTTTCATATTCAGTAGGTCTTTTTTGATCATGTTATTGGCCAAACAAGAAAATGAAATAGTTATTTCAGTTGCATGCTTTAAACTGTGTGTTTCATCTATCTTTTCTTCAAGTTTCACTTACTGATGTTTTTTTTTTTGGTTTTTCTTTGTCAGGGAACAGTTGTCAACCAACTAAAATCAGATATGGAAAGGTTACAGGAGGAAATTAAGACCCAGCTGGTTAGTATAATTGTTCCCTATTACAACATCAACAACAATAACAAACAGTAATCGCCATGGTTTTCAAAACCGGACTGGACGGTCGGACCGGAAAAACCGGGAACCGGTCAGGTGACAGGTTCTGTTTTTCCCCAAAACCGATTTTTGCCAAAAAAACGTTGATTTGGTCATCAAAATCACTGACCCGGGCGGTTGAACCGTTTTGACCGTTCTTTTTTTTTAATTTTTTTGTCAGAACGGGCTGACTGCTCGGTTCGAATGATCGGACTGCTTGACCTGGGAACCGGACCCCTGACCGGTTCGTTGTCCGGGTCGGTTTCAAAAACCTTGGTAATTGCTTTTCAAATAAAAGTTTAATTGCATTAAAGTATAGATTTGCATCCCATCGGATTTTGTTTCTTCCCGTGGCTTTACTATTTCAGAGTTTCTGATACTTGTTAGCACTAACTTCACAGGGTTGGGTTCTGGAACTGTTCTTGAACCTTGTGTCAGAGGGAACATTATTATTATTTTTTACCTCTTTTCAAGCAGGACAAATGACCTTGCTACTCTTTTCTATTTTACCTTGAACCCTTTTATTGTTAGCTTCGAAATTCATGTATTAGGACTGAATCCAATACTGGGTTTGTGTGGGCAATCTGTTTGCATACTTACATCTTTCTTCCCTTGTTTGGATGCACACAATAATTTATTAACTGGATGTTTGGAATGGACCATTCCCTTTTCTATTGGACAAAGAAATGAAAAAGGAAATGTCTTCACGTCCCCCCTCCCCTACAAAAAAGACCTTTATTGCCTCCCCTAAATAATTTGATGAAGGTGCAAATAGGGTGCTGATTGCTATGGGTGGAGGGAGCTCTTTTGAAGGCAGTTTAGAGGAGGGCAATGTACAGTGAAGCTACTTGCCTACCAGATTTTTGAAGGTCTTAGTTGCCTACCCTAAACAATTTGATTTCTGACTTGGTAGAAATGAATAACATGACAAGCTTAATATAAGGGTAGGTGATTCATGGGTGATAGTGAGGTGGTTAAAAAAAACAGCATGTGAAGCTTCTGGGTCTCCCTTTCAATCTTTGGGTGAAAGAAGTGATCGAAAATATTGTGAGGGCCATTGGGGGAGAGCTGGATGATCTGGATTTGCTGGATCTTCATGCTATAAAAATGAGATTATTGGGGGTGCACCCAGAAGTCATCCCAAGACCAATGGAGCTGCAGGTTGATGGCTGTTGGCACAAACTTTGGATCGTGTCGGGAGCTGGAGCGAAGTTTTGGAGTTCCCTTGGTTCATCTGAAGAAGATGATGATGTGGCTCGCATGTTCCCAAGTGGAAGAGATGAGGAGGGAGGGGGAGAAGCTCGGGAACAGGGGAGGGGAATGGCTATGATCCTTGGAAACCTCCGAATGAGGCAGGTCAGACTTTTAATAAGGGAGGTTAAGAGGCGGAGGGCGAAACGGGTCTGCTTTATTTGGTTGTTGGGTCGGGTCGAGTGGATTTGGCGGTCCAAAAGAAGCTGTCAACTTAGATGACCAATATAGAATGCACGTGACTTCTAATTCGTTAAGTAATTTAGGCGATAAAACTGTTCTCTACTCGCCTTCTTCGAAGGCTGCTTGTGATATTTGTCTGAATAGTGGGAGTCAAGAGAGGGCTCCTGCACGGGGATGTTCATTCAAGGGAGAAGGAAGGGTGAGAAATAACACAGCTATGTTTCCCATAGAAAGAGGAAGGAGGTTTGGGAGTGGGGGATTACTAAATTTATGGGATCAGAAAAATCGAGGGTCTCCAATTGTCCAGAGACTGAAACAAGGTTACTGGAGACAGCTATCCATGCTCTTCCTTGGGTTTCTCAAGAAGATATAGTTCAAGAAAAAGTGTTTGCTTTGGATTCTGTCAAAAGCCCTGAGAAAGAAACTTTCCATTCTTTAATGGGATTAAGAAGGATGCTGGAATGGCGGAAACAGCTGAAATGGGAGAAAATTCTGGTAAGGGAGAAATTTCGTCAAAGAGCAAGGTTTCCTCGTGCGACTCTGATAGCAAGGAAAGGACATGGGAAGCAGGAGAAGTGACAAATGTTGAGAACCCTAAGAGGGAGGACAGAAAAGAAGGATTGTGGTCTACGATTTTGATAGGAAAGCTGGGGATGGGCTTGGGCGGGAGAAGAGCCGAAAGCAATCAAAAGTTGATCAACTCTGAGAAATAAAAGGCAGAAGGCTTGAGAAAACCGAGAGGCTCCAATAATGGGCAAATTGTTCATGTTACTAAGGTTTTTCTTTGTCTCAAGGAAGGTTTGATCGGGGATGGTCCTTGTTGTAGATTCAAGAGAATCTACGGAAGGAGAGGATGAAAGGCTACTACAAGACTTCAGAAATATCAGACAAATAACATTGACACAATTTGTTTAGAAGGTGATGCAGGCAGGAAGCACCAGGGTGTTGAGTCAGTTAACCAAGATGAGGGGATATTTACAGGGGAGAGGGAGGAGAGGAATAGGCCCACAAATCCTTGGAAAGTTATCATCTCCATTCACACTTCTTTTTTTCCTTTTATTAGGTATAAAGTAGGAAATGACTTTAAAATAAAATTCTGGAAAGACCTATGGTGGGGGGAAACCACCCTGGAAGCCTCTTTTCCTAGGCTTTTTAACCTTACCCTTGACCAAGAAGTCACTATTTCTTCCTGCCTTCCAAACCAAACTGCCGAGAGCACCCTAAACCTCCATCTCAGAAGACCCCTAAGGGATTCGGAGATTTCTGAATTAATAGCCCTAATTCAGACCCTCAAAGAAGCCTACATCTCCCCTTCCATTCTGACACCCGAATCTGGACCCTGCACCCTACTGGCGAATTCTCTTCTAAGTCTATGTTCAGGGCTTTGATTTCGGAAGAACAGCATCCCTTCTTTCCTTGTAAGATGATCTAGTGTAGCCACATCCCTTCAAGAGTTTGTTTCTTAGTCTGGGAAGCTTGTCTCCAGAAATTAAATACTTGTGATCTCCTGCAGAAAAAGTATTTGGGAAGACTCTCCATCTCTCCTAATGTTTGTATTCTATGCTTCAGGGAAGGTGAATCTGCAGATCACATTTTTCTTCACTGCAATTTACCCAAAAGATCTGGTCCCACTTCTTGAATATGGCAGGTTATAGCTGGGTTATTCCAAAGCACATTATGGACACTTTGCATCAATGGCAAGGATCAGGGTTAAGCAAAAGGGGTAAAGTTTTTTGGCAATCAGTGCTACATGCAGTGTTGTGGGGTGTTTGGGATGAAAGAAACAATCACCTCTTTGATAATAAATTCAGAACCCTAGAGGAATTAATTTCAGATATTACTTTCCTTTGCAACCTCTGGACGGTGAACTCAGATCTGTTCAAAGGAATTTCAGTTAATGACCTTAACAGAGATGCTTACCCCTTTCTGTTTCTCCCTCATCCCCATCAAACTTCCTTGAGGCATCCCGACCCCAGCAGTGAAGGAGTGATGACCCTCAACTTCGACGGAATTGGTAACCTTGGATTAGCTGGTATTGGAGGTACAGTAAGGGACGAAAGGGACAATATATGTTGGACTTTTAGTGGTCCAACTGGTCTGGCTGATTCTACAAAGGCCAAAGTGATGGCTGCTGTCACAGGAATCAGGATTATAAAAAACTTGGGAATCCAGAATTTAATCATTGCAGGTGATTCAGCAAATACTATTAAATGATTAAGAGACAAAGAGGGGGGTCCTTGGAGATTGAATCTCTATCTGACAGAGGCTAGGGATTCTTTGGACTGCTTAAATGTTAATTTAGTTTGGATTCCTAGGAAACACAATTATACTGCGGATGGCTTAGCCAAATGTGGTGTGTATTTGGAGCATTTGTATAGCGATAAGTTTCCTCCTTTGTAATTTGTAGGGGTTCTCCCCCCGTTTTGTACATCTTCTCATGTACCTCCTCTTTATTTAATGAATTCTGGTTAAATTTTCTCAAAAAAAAAAGGAATAGGTTGAAGTATTCTGGGAGAATTTTGGAGGAAGAGAATGAAGATGGGATGGAGGTAATGAAGGAGAAACCTATTGACAGTTGGGAGAAGGACGAGAGAAAAGGAAGTGCCAAAGATGTGATGGGGGTGGATAGTAAAGAGGGGGAAAGGGAGATGGGAGGGAAGAAGGTCGACTCCAAGGCTGGTAACTTTGAAAAGGGAAGACCAGATATTGGTAAATTAGTAGATAGACAGGTGGCAGTTGGGAAATCTCTTGGCCTTATCTTTTTAGGAGGAGAGGCAGTGGTGAGGAAGGCTATAGAACAATTTTGAACAAAATAGAAGGCAGGAAATTAACAATAGAAGAGTAGAGGAGGGAGCAGTATTTTGGAGGAAAATGGAACGGAGGTAAATAATGTTGATGTTTCTCCTCATGTTCCCCCCCCCCTCACACACACACACACAAGACATAGTGAGTCTCTTCAACCCAACCTTCCCAAGGCAGCAGAAGAAAAGGGGAAGATGCATATGGAAGACAGTATGTGCTGGTGTGGTTTGTTCAGTTTGGGAAGAGAGAAATCAGAGGATCTTCAATGGAAAAAGTAAATCCTTAGCGGAGGTGATTGAAGCCATCAAAATCAGATTGGTACATTGGGTCAAAACCTTGGATTTGTTCAAAGGTATTCCCACGGATGACTTCTTAAGAAATTGGACTGAAGTGGCATTCTCAGAACCACATAGAGAAATTATAAGGATGGAGTAGAAACCACCAGGGCCAAATAAGCTGAAACTAAACTTCCTTTAGCAACCCAGGAAGAGCAGGAGTAGGGATAGTCTTTTGAGACCATCATGGAGTAGTACTGGCCTTGTTCTCAGGACCAATCGGGTTTGCAGACTCGATCCAAGCTGAATCAAAGGCTCTATGGCAAGGACTGAAGCTTGCAGAACAGCTAGGGGCAAGAGAGCTGGAAATTGAAGGAGATTCGCTTCAGATTATAACATGGGCAAAGCAAATTGAGTCAGCACCTTGGAAGCTAA